AAATGAGCACAGTTTATTTATAAAGCTCAATAGCAACAAACTTTTAACATACCCACTTTCCTGTTTTCTACCCATGTGCTTTCGATTTAGGAGTTCTAGGAAAAGAGCTTCATTTCTGCATATTATACTGTTCTCTGTGTATTCAGAAGGAGGCAAGCAGTGGGTGAATTTTTGAAATATTTTTCTAGACCCATTGGTAATGTCCTCAATCCTCAGGTGAACAAAGAACTAGTTTTCAGGAAAAGCCACAGCAAATCATGTTTCTTTTTTCCTACGTGGAAGAATTTCTGCGTCTCATTTGAATATTTTACCCACTCTGTAGCAGGAGAAAGAGCCCTAGGCTGTAGATAGTGAGGTGAATACCTTTGGGGATGTACTGAAGTGTGAACACAGGTCAGATCTCAGAAGGGCTGAGGGGAAGCCTCCTTATTAATAGTGTTTGAGAAACTCTCCCCTCTTTGAAGAGTTCTATGGGAATACAGAAGTTTATTTATTATTTGAACTCTCATAGGAAATTTTCTTGTCCATAACTTATCACTTTCTCCATCCATATGTAAAATAAATGTGTTCTTTCATCCTCCATTGGTGCTGCAGCTCCACCAGAGACAAGGGAAATTCTTGGTCATGAACTGCTACACTTGCCATCCGGCTCCTGTGAACTCATTGTTGCTTGGCTTGGAGGAGCCTGAAGCGGGCTGATTTTTGTTTTTTGCTTTCCTTCATATATTACCATATTTTTATTAGTTTCATTTATTGATGTCTCTTTGTTGTGGTGACAGCCGGGGTCGGGGGAGGTACTCAACTTTCTCATGTGCAAAGGGTGTGATATTGACTGAAGATGATGGTGAAAATTCTTCAATGTGCTCCAGCGGGCTTAGGCAGCCTATGGTGAAACTTTGAAGCCAGTTCCCGTGCCTAGAACCAGCCCAGCACGGACCAGGAGGTGCTCTGTGGAGGGAGGAAAGCATCCCCTCCCCAGCAGTGGTACCTCGCCCAGGGACTTTTAGAAAAAAAAGTTGAAACACCATAATTCGAAAAGACACGTGCACCCCAGTGTTCATTGCAGCACTATTTACAACAGGCAGGACATGGAAGCAACCTAAGTGTCCATCAACAGAGGAGTGGATAAGGAAGATGTGGCCCATATATACAATGGAATATTCCTCAGCCATAAAAAGAATGAAATAATGCCATTTGCAGCAACATGGATGGACCTAGAGATTGTCATACTGAGTGAAGTAAGTCAGAGAAAGACAAATATCATATGATATCGCTTATATGTGGAATCGAAGAAAAAGTGTACAAATGAACTTACCTACAAAACAGAAATAGAGTTATAACAATTTTGGTCTTAAAATAACCGCTAGGGTTTTTTATTCAGTTTATAGTTCACAGACCTCTGACGTGATGATTTAGAGCAACATCTTTCAACACAATGATTTCTCTTGCACGTGACAGGGACAGACACAGCAGAGGCACAATGAGCATACAGGGTCCTTCAATACCATCCAAACTCAAGTGCTGAGGTTCCTGGGCAAGTTTTTTATTATCATTATTGGTTTAAATTTCTAATATTCCATTTTTCAAATATAACGTGTATTTATTATTTTTTGAATTTTGCTCGATATCATATTATGTAGAGACAATGTTAGACTTTACTCCAAGTCTGTAACTCTGGAAAATATTGAAGGTGAAAGACCTCCCTTTCTTCTTTTGCGTGGAAGGAAACAGTTTATTTGCTAAGAAGTACACTTCCCCGTTAATTTCAGTAAGACTCCTGATAGCCCCCTTGTTTACTTAGAAACCAGCTAGATGAGAATCCTCCAAATTCCCATCCATTGCCTTATTGTTTGTCTTCAGTTACCTCTGGATATAATGGCAGTTACCATGATTTAATCAAAAGTTACTTATGCTTTTCTCCTCTCCCAAGGGGCCTATGTTTTGAACCCCTTTTAAGCATTGTAATTCAGAACAACAGCGCTGCCGGAACTTAACCAAGCATAGGTGACTTTAGCGTAAAACATCCCCCAGGTATGTAAGCTCGTGCCACCTGGTCATCCACTCCACCCTATGGGAGTTTTCCCACTTGTTGACCTCTTGGTGTAAAAAAAAAGTTCTTTTCTGGTCTGAATTTTAAGGCTTTACAGATTTTATGGCTGGAGCATTCTCTATATTGTAATAATCATTTGGAATAAAACCTGTCCCTACCTAAGTCTGACAGTGGTAAATATTTCAGTCATTCCATCTGAACTCAAAAATGTGTATTTTTTAATTTTCTAGGACAGGGTTTGTGTGTGTGTCTCAAACTATATCCTTGTGTTTTTTACATTTTTGAATTGTTTGCATCTGTTTCATAATGAAATACAGGGAGACATATCAAAATCTTCCTGTGATTTAGGAAATTTAGGGTTTTTTTTTCCCTTGTGAATATATTTATTTTCCTGCAACAAAACTCTCCATTCAAAAAATGACTTTCCCCTGTAATTGGCTTCTCCTCTATTCTTCTGTGTTTAATGAAAAGTTCCACTATCGACTCATTTCTTTGCTTGGAATCATGGAAGTCCATGCTGAAATGGCTTTTTTGCCAACATGGCTAGTTAGAAATATTGTATAATACAGAGTAATCTACCTAATAGGGTTCACAAAATTTGAGTCACTGCAACTTTTAAAATGTGATATATCTTCTGGTATTTATATGTGTGCTACACCAGGACATTCTCCTTACTAAATACCCTTAGAAATATTGCAACTTAATTATTCTTTAGATGGAAATAAATCCCAATGTCTTCTAAAGGCTGTATATTTTATAGGCTCTTTTATCCACACTTGACAGAACTTTTCGAAATAAAAAAACAAAGAGCTAAAATATATTACAATTTGAATATAGAAAGTGAAACTTTCTAATTACCCTCATAATGAATATATAGTCAGTTTGAAATTACATTGTTTATTATATACTTAACTATAATTTCATAAATAAGTTTTTCTGAAAGATATTTAAAGGTAACTCTCAAAAGTGTGGAATAGGATTTCCCTGGCGGTCCAGTGGTTAAGACTCCACACTTCCAGTGCGGGGGGCTTGGGTTTGATCCCTTGTCAGGGAACTAAGATCCCAAATACCCTTGGGAGTGGCCAAAAATTAAAACAACAGCAACAACAACAAAACAAGTGTGGAATAGAGCAGGTATTTTAATGAATAATGCAGTTTTTTTTTTTAAAGATTTATTTATTTAATTTATTTTTGGCTGCGTCCGGTCTTAGTTGCAGCACTCGGGATCTTCGTTGAGGCTTGCAGGATATTTCATCGCGGCGCGCGGGCTCTTTGGTGCAACACGCAGGCATCTCTCTAGCTGTGGCGTGTGGGTCGTTTTCTCTTCTCTAGTTGTGGTGCGAAGGCTCCAGGGCGTGTGGCCTCTGTAGTTTGTGGCACGCAGGCTCTCTAGTTGAAGTGCACCAGCTCAGTGGTTGTGGCGCGTGGGCTTAGTTGCCCCGCGGCAAGTGGGATCTTAGATCCCTGACCAGGGATCGAACCGGCGTCCCCTGCCTTGTAAGGCGGATTCTTTACCACTGGACCACCAAGGAAGTACCAATAATGCAGTTCTAATTATATATATATATATATATATATATATATAGTCTTTTTATTGCATGTATTTGAGATGATGGGATACTCACTAGCCTTATTTTGGTAATTATTTCAATATATGTAGGAACATTATGCTGTACAACTTAAACTTATACAGTGATGTATGTCAAGTACATCTCAATAAAACTGGGGGAGGAGGGGGGGTGGTTTTAAAAGGCAAATAAAGCACTTCAGCCGAAAGAAAGAACAATGCAATTTATAACAATTTAAAAAAATGTATTGCTTTTCCAAAACAATTGTTAGTGAGGAACATTATCACATGCCTTATTTCTCCAGTCTCAGACCCCAGGTTTTGTACCTGAGTCTCTGGAACTGAGCAGAGTTTTGAGTTTGGTCTCCTGGCTGAATGAGGAATAGAAACGGAAGAGCGCTTCTGTAGGATGTCAGTCTGAAATGGAACATTCTACCTAGGAAGAATTTTGTATTTCTCATTCTAGTTTGTAATACAGAGACAAACCTAGCTTTTGTTTCCTCAAACTGCTTCAGTTAATTCTAACTGCAGGAAATGTTCCCAGATCCGACCACTGCCCTACAGCTACCACTCGGAGACCCACACTCCCAACCTCTGAATTGCTTGAGCCTCTGGAACGCGGCATGCGAGCAAACTGCTGGGAAAAACAGCTTTTTACTGAAGCCGTTTCAACTTGTTAGGAGGAAACGTTAGTTTTACATCAGTGGCTCACACAGCTGGAAAGCTTTTACCATAAAACTTCTAGATGATAGTTGTAAGGTCGCATCTTAACAAACGGCACCGCGAAACAGAGGAAAGCTTCAAGTGAGCTTTATTAGGGAGCGCTCCCGGGTGAGGTTCACTGGTCCGAGAGAAAGGGGCCAGAGAAGTCGCGCCCAGTTCTGGATGAGGGTGATTTTTATTGGGGTAAAAGCAGAAGGCGGCTTGCAAGGGGAGGGGGTGGTTTGCTATACAGGGTAATTCCTTATTTGGTGAGGATACAGCAGGGCCAGGTGTTGGTTGGTCTGTTGTGGGGCGTAAGCCCCATTTCCCGTCAGCCACATTGTTTTCTGGGCAGGATGTTAGAGTCTCTTGTTGATTCCCAGAACAGGTGAGGTCGTTATGTCCCGATGCCTCTCCTACCTCATACTGGTCGATGTTTTCTCTTGCCCCCCGGGCCAACGGACCTTACAATAGTAACTTAAAATCGGCACTTTCAAAGCGCCGCGAAGTAACATACCTCAGCCCCTTACTACGCCCCTGGCGATCTCCGCGAGGTTGTGAACTCCCTTGCCCCGCCCTTCGCGGTCGCGCTCCACTCGTTCACGTCCCTGGAAGCCCTGCCTCTAACTCTGCGCGTGCGCAGTTTCTTAACGGAACCGGAAGCAGAGAGCTCGGCGTGGAGCTCGCGCTCCATTAGGTAAGTTTCTCCTCTCTAGTGTGAGTTTGTGCTGCGTGGTCCACCATACCCCACCCTCAGCGTCTTGGGAGTCACGCGCTCCAGTAGGTAAGTTTCTCCTTTCTAGTGTGAATTTGTGCTGCGTGGTCCACCATACCTCACCCTCAGCGTTTTGGGAGTCACTATGGACTTAAAATGCCGGCACCCGGCCTTCGCCCCCAGTAAATCCAGACGTCGCCGTCACAGGTCTGGTGTTTTCCTTTGCGTTTGAAATCGCTCTGAGGTGGGTCCCGGAGCCCTTGGCTCTTCTGCCTTAGGTCCAGGTAGATCTCGCCTTTCGCTTCTTTTTCCTTCATAAAGCCCTTTACTGCCTCCGCCCTCCCCCTGGAAGGCCCTCTTCCGCGAGGTGGATTCGCGGCTGCGCAGCCTCGCCCTCTCGGACCCTGGAGGGCAGCGCCGGTCGCCCCGCTCCCGGAGAGCTCGCGTCCTCTCCCGGGTCCCGGGATTCTGGAGAGCCCGCCCCTCTCCTGAGCCCCCCTCCCTCCCTCCCCGCCCCTCTGTCCTCGCGTCTCCTCAGGCCGGTCCTTCTGCTCCGCAGGCCTCTCCTTCATAGGCCTTCCCCTCACCCCGTGTAGGGGGAGGTGACCTGGCCAGCCGTGTGACACCCAATGTTCTTCGGTCTCCCCGCTGGAAAATGTGTTTTTCCGGTAGGCGGGTATCTTATTCAGTCGCCATCCCTGTAAATACGTGGGCGAGGGGGACCGGGAGAAGCTGAGACAGAGAGCGACTGAGAGAGCAATAGGAAAACCGAGATGAGAAAAGAATGAGGGAGAACCAATAGAGACGTAGAGCATTGGCTTAGGGACTTGTAAAGAGACAATAAAATGAAAGAGACTAAGCCTTGCAAGTAACAGGTGGATACAGTAAAGAAGTGAATTATACAGAGGGATTGCCACAGATTAGAGGAAAACATAGATAGAGGGGCCCTGATTCAGCGTTAGCAAGGGAGGCAACAGTGATGAGGCCCTTCACACAGAGAACGGGGGCAGAGGGTAAATGAGGTGGGACCATGGCCTTCAGAGCATCAAGGTGCTGGGAGAGAGAACAGCAGAGGAAGAAAGAACAACACCAAGGAACCATAGCCACCTGGGGTGCCAGAGAGTGAGGAGGGAGGGAATGTATCACGGACAGAAGGGGTGTAACCCGGAGGGCAGAGAGGGAGCAGAGATGGGGGAAGAAAGAGCATCAAGGGGGGGAACAGGTTGCAGAGTCGGGCAGGCCAGGTGTGAGGGAGGAAATAGAGAGGAGGGCAGGAACAGCAGGAGAGCAGAGGGGAGCAAAAGGAGAGACACAGACCGAGATGATCTAGGGAGACGAATAAACAGAATGAAATGGAAACACCTAGTAGTGCAGGTAGAGCGGAAACTGGATCCAGGTGGGTGGTGGTGAGTTGTTTGGATGTGGATGATTAAGCTGTGATGTATGATCTGTGGTTTCAGAATGTAGTAAATTTAAAATTTGTTTGCTTAAATTATACAGATGAGCGTGAGAATTGGAAAACTTCCTTATAAGGTTTGTGCATTTTGCAGTTATTTGTATCAGAAGATAACTTCCATCTCCAGTCCCTATTCAGCCAGGGGGCAGTGACTTGACTCAAGACAGCTGTGGGTCACCCCCTTTCCTTTTCCTGGCATGAGAGCACAGGGGAGAGAAGTGGGGCAAGAAATGACTGACTCTGTTACTGCATGGTGCCCTTTTTTTTTGTGGTATGCGGGCCTCTCACCGCTGTGGCCTCTCCCACCGCGGAGCACAGGCTCCGGACGCGCATGCCCAGTGGCCATGGCTCACGGGCCCAACCGCTCCGTGGCATGTGGGGTCCTCCCGGACCGGGGCACGAACCCGTGTCCCCTGCATCGGCAGGCGGACTCTCAGCCACAGCGCCACCAGGGAAGCCCCATGGTGCCTCTTTGAAGGAACATTAAAAGTGAGTTTTTTTCTAATGGATTCACTTTTTTCTTTCCTTTTTTTTTTCTTTTTCATTTTTTTTACACTTAATTCTTTTTATAACTTGGAATAAATCTTGGTGCATTAAGTTTCTACTTCTCTGTAAGTAATTATAAACTTCTGAAATAAGCTTTGCTGGTTTTGTATAATCAACTCATGTGATTCTTTTCTAAATATGATATATTCTTAGTTTTTTTAACTTTCACACCAGAATTTTAAAAAAATTCACAAAATATTTCTTTTTAAAATGTGTTTAAGGTTTGTTTGAGGCCTGCCTCCTGTCTCCTCTTTATCTTGTGTATTGGAAAAATTCTTTGGTAACTAGTAAATAATTTTAGACTGTTATGATGAGTTAAGATGATGTTAAGATGTCAATCATCTTTTATATTAACAGTCAAAACCTAGTTTAACCAGTTAGTCTAATATTCAGTTTTTTTCCATTGTATTCGATCTGTTAAGATAGTGAGCTGTGAAGTGATAGGGAGATGCTTCCCTCAGGTCCCTCTTGACTGTTCTCTACAGATACTGAAGGATTGGGTATAGTGACTTGGAACCTTCTTCCATCAGTGCTCCTCTATTCATGATGAAGTTTGCTCAGAGCTGATTTCTAACCTGACTCTTTCCAATGTTTTCTTCACCAGTGGTATATTTTTGCAAATCTGCATGTTTAAAAGATTTTACTGCAATCTTCTGGAAAAGAAGAATTAAATGCTTGGTACCAGATCAGACCTTGAAACAGAAGGTTCCTTTGCTGAGGCAAATGAAAGATGGTCCTGGTGTTTTAGGTTGGAAGGATGTTAAGGACAAACTCTGCCCACTGGCCCTTCTGGATCCCACTTCAGAATTCAGTTCCCCTAATTCTGTTCACTCAACCTGGACTTTCTCATACGTGTCTCCCCTCTGGGCCTCAGGGAGCCCACTTGTAACATGGAGATGAGAGACTAGACCAGAAACTCTCAGCCTGGGTAACTCTGAGCCCTGAAATGATTGGCCAAATTGTGTATGTGTCTGTGTGTGGCAGTTCTTTTTAGAGAGGAGTGTCCAGTTCTATTTAGAATTTTGAATGGGTCCCTGTCTTCCCAGAATGAAAAACAAAAGCAAAATGCTAGAATGGAGACAAGAACATAGGGTCAGAGGGGAAGTGACCATAGTCAGATGTATTTTTCTGCGTTAAGTGTAAATTTGAAGAGTTTATATCAATTCTGGCACTCAGACCTTCACTGGCTCTTATTTGTCCTCAGGACAAAATCCGAACTCCTCACTGTTGCTATACATCCCTGTAACATCCTCAGGGCCCCGCTAGTGTCTCCTGCCTCATCATGGGATCTGGCCCTTTTCCCATGGTTCACTTTACCCCAAAAGTTCCCAAACAGCAAAACCGTTTCTCTCTCAAATCTTAGTTCCCATTCTTACCTTCTGCCTTTAAATCCCAGTGGCTCAGGCCCTTTGTGCTCCTTCAGGATTAGGCTCAGAGAGGTCTCTCCGTCCCTTCCCGACAATCTCTGTCACGTTGACCAGGTTTTATTGCCTCTGTATCAATCAACATCATCAGAAATGCCATTTTCTTTTCTTTTTTTTTGAATTTTATTTTATTTATGTATTTCTTATACAGCAGGTTCTTATTAGTTATCTATTTTATATATATTAGTGTATATATGTCAATCCCAGTCTCCCAATTCATCCCACCCCCCCTCCTTCCCAAGAAATGCCATTTTCTATTCGTTTGGAGTCTTTATTGTGTTTCCTCCATCGAAGGAGTGCAGTGTTTTTCTTCCTTCCGGGATGGCTGCAGCATCTCACTCTGGGGATGTGTTTAGATGCTAAGACTGTGGGTTGGGCTAAATAATCCTCAGGGAAGACCAGGTGAACAGGGTAGGTGATAAGGATGGTTCCCATGTTTGTTTTGAATATTTCAACTGTAATTGATCCTTACCCCATGTGGCTACTTAATAACTCAAAATAAGAACCAAAAGATGTAGGGAGTCCTAAAAAGCCTTACAGAATTGGTGTCCTCGTGCAGTGTCCTGAGGTGTCCCCATGTTTAGTGTGCTGTGTGACTGCTCCGCTGTAGCCCCCAGTGTTCCAGGCTGTGCACATCCAGGGACCAGTCGCCAACTTGGACACGAGCTTTGCCTTTCAGCAGTTCATCTGCTCAGAATCACGGATAATGATTTCTGTGTGTGTAAGCACACACACGCTTAGTGTGCTAAGTGAGGGCAGAAGTCTAGAGCCTAATGGGGCATGAAGGAGCGCCCCCTCAGACAGCTAGGGTATTTTTTTAATTGCCTGTGAGTGTGGAGAACAGGAGACAAGAATCCTGAGGGCCAATTTTTGACCTTCATACTGAAGGTCAAGTGAATGCCCAGTGTTCTTTGGGAGGTAGCTTGTGAATATTCCTGTTGCGACTCCTTTGCTGAGCAGTCCTTATGCCTTTTAGCCCTGTTTTCCCATGAGTGCATGGAGAAGAGGCAGAACAATGGGGAGTTAGAAGGGAGCCTATAGTGGTCTGCAGGAGGGATATGGCAGCAAGTGGGAGCTTCAAGATGAGCCCAATGAATGGTATTTGCATTTGTCCCTTGTGGGGTGTGTGGAACTGCTGGCAAAGGGTGTTTGAGTTCTGGCTGGAGCACCTGGAATTGGGTTTATGGGTAGTTGTGGGTGCATTGCATGGTTTGAGGTGCCATAGTGTCTTAGCTCAGGTTCCCTGGGACCTAGCTGCTGACACTGAGGTTTACGTGCATTTGTTTAATTGGGTATTTCATGATCCTACCTGAGGAGGAATGAAGACAGTGGATTTAGGCAAAGAGAAACATTTTCCTCCATTGTGGTTAAAAAAAGTGTGGCCTGAGCTGAGTGCACAGGGATCTTTGGGTGCAGGAAGATGGGTGCCTTGTCCTTAGGTGATGACTCAAGAGGGTGCCCCACAGCATCTATTCCACAGGTGACTTGGGTGTTATGGAGGTTAAGAATCATGCAGTTTTTAGGGTAGTAATATAGGGAAAATTGCAGAGATCATTTGCCCACTGTCACAGGAGGGATTCAGGATACTTCAGTGTTATTTAGTATTTGGGATTGCAAATGAAGAAAGTTTCAGATCCACTGTGAAAGATACAAAAGAGAATTTGGAATGTTTTCCTGGTAGATGTTGGGTTTGTTACCGAACCAAACTTGGGTCCCCTTGCTTGCGTGCAGTGAAGCCAATCTATTGACACCAGGTTGTGGTGAAGGAAAGTGCAGCGTTTATTGTAGGGTGCCAAGCAAGGAGTCCAGGTAGCTTGTGCTTAAAAGCCGTGAACTCCCTGAAGGCTTTCAGGGAACTTTTTTTTTTTTTTAAGCCCTGAGGAGGGGCTGTGCCCTTTTATTTATTTATTTATTGTTTAATTTATTAAATTTATTTTATTTTTTGCTGTGTTGGGTCTTTGTTGCTGTGTGCGGGCTTTTCTCTGGTTGCGGCGAGCAATGGCTACTCTTCATTGTGGCACGTGGGCTTCTCATTGCAGTGACTTCTCTTGTTGCAGAGCACGGGCTCTAGGTGCACGGGCTTCAGTAGTTGTGGCTCATGGGCTCAGTAGTTGTGGTTCACAGGCTCTAGAGCACAGGCTCAGTAGTTGTGGTGCACGGGCTTAGTTGCTCTGCAGCATGTGGGATCTTCCCGGACCAGGGCTCAAACCCGTGTCCCCTGTATTGGCAGGCAGATTCTTTTTTTTTGTTAAATCTTTATTTATTTATTTGGCTGTGCTGGGTCTTTAGTTGCTGCATGAGGGATCTAGTTCCCTGACCAGGGATTGAACCTGGGTCCCCTGCATTGGGAGCGCAGAGTCTTAACCACTGGACCACCAGGGAAGTCCGAGGCAGGAGGATTCTTAACCACTGCGCCACCAGGGAAGCCCCAAAGACTTTTAAAGACAGGATGAGAGAAGGGCATTGTGGGGTGCATGATCAGCTTGTGGACATTCTTCTGATGGCTTGGTGAGGTAAATGGGAGTCAACATCATCAAACTTCTGGTTCTAACCAGGCTGGGGTCTACGTCCTTATGGGCAGCATACAGTTAACTTTTTTCACCTGGTGGGGGTTTCAGTATCTGCAAAACAGCTCAAAGGACAGGGCTCAGAATGTTATCTATAGTCCTTGAGGAGAAACTAAAGGTCCTTGATGTTGTTTAATGGCTAAAGTATTCTTGTCTTGCTTGACTGTTTTCCTTTCTTTCTGCATTTTCTCACTTCTATGATTAAATTTTTTCTTTGACTAAAGTTTTCTACAGACAAAAGGCAGGCAGAGAGAGCATCGAGGGGGGGCTCTGTTCTGGGAAGTTCCCATAGGGTCCTTGGTTACAGGTTCTCATTGGGGCATGTGCATCATTGGAAACATCTTTCTTTTATATATATAGCTTTATGAGATCAGTGTTTGGTCTGTGAATAAAAATATGGTGTTTTGTGTCTGGTGGTTCCTTGGGTGTCTCATATGTATTTTGCCCTCAGGCATGATTTATTAGAGTTTGGAATGTTTTCTGGTATTTTATAGCAGGATGAGTGAATAGGGGTCATATGGAGACTGTGTTGGATTTATGAGATTTTGTAAGTTTACTTGAGCCCAGAAGGGAAATTATGAGTAGTAAGCTTGAAATGGCAGAACGTGTTCATTAGAGAGACTCTGGTAGGTATGTATCTGTGGGCACAACTTGAGAAGGGCCATTAAGTTCTTTGATGTAGGAAAGATTGTTCCAAGAATCAGAGTACCAGCAACACCACAGTGATCTGCATTCCAGAGGCACATCCTTGGGAAAATGTAGCTGCTACTTTCTTGCTCCCAGGCCAGTATTGGTTCTTCTACTGTCCTCTCCCTACCTGTCTCAACAAAACACACGCACACACACACGGTATAGAGAACAGGGAGCCCTTATGCTTTGTGGGTGGGAATGTAATTGGTTCAGCTCTTAGTGAAAGCGATATGGAGTTTCCTATAAATTAAACAAAGAACAGGCACAGAATTTGTGAAACCCACCTGTGACTAGATATCCAAAGGAAACAAAATCATTCCAGTGAAGGAAATATTTGCACTCCAGTGAGCATTATTGCATTATTCCCAACAGTCTAGATGTAGAAAGACCCAAAATGTCTGTTGACAAATGAGTGTATATAGAAATTTATATCAGCCATAAATTATTATTATGACATTCTGGCATTACTATTTCTGACATAATTTTGGTTGAAGAAGGCACACATTTTTTATGGAAACTAGAAATGTCAAACTCATAGAACCATAGAGTATAAAGGTTGTTATGAGGACTTGGGTGGTAGGGCAGTTGGGGAGATGTTGGCCAAAGGTTACAAATAGTTCAGTTGTGAAGTGAATAAGTACAGCATGGACATCCAATGTACAGTTTGCTGACTGTAGTTAATACTGTGTTACTATATAGTTGGAATTTGCTGAGAGAGTAAAACTTAAATGTTCTCACCACGCAGACACACGTGGGTAATTGTGGGTTGATGGAAGGGTAAATTACTTTATTGTGATAATTATTACACAGTGTATACATCTGTAAGATAATCACATTGTGTGCCTCACGTGTACAGCGTTGTTATTTATCACCTATACCTCAGTAAAGCTGCAAAAGAAAACTAAAGTGGTAGGTGTGCTGGGCTTGCCTGCTCTGAGTGGTGCTCAACCCAGGCTTCACATTAGATTGCTGAGGCGTTTTGTATATACATGTTTTGTACCCTCTGACCAGAGATTTCCCTTCATATAGTTGGTATGTGGTCCAACCTCAATAGTATTTAAAGTGTCCAAGGTGATTCCATTCTGTATCCATCACTGAGCATCGTTATTCTGAGTCCCCTCATTTCTGAGGGCTGAGATCTGAGCTGAGGGTGAGGGCTGTGCTCTGCGTGGGGCTGGATCAGGGCTGGTCTGTGACCTGCGGGGGATCGTCGGGTCCAGCTGAGGTGCCCGCTGCTGCTGGGTACGTGAGGGCCTCACCAGGAGGGGAGCGAGATCTGAAGAAAGGGTGGGGAAACTCCTGTGTTGGTCTCTGTGTGGGAGTTTACTGTCCTGAGCCCCTCCTGGGACAGTGGGCAGCGGACTGTCTGTTCCACATGGAGAGATCTTCCTTGTGTTTATGGTTGTGGTACAGGAATGGGGTCTTTTGATTCTAAGCATGTTTTCATCTTTCAAGATTGTCCTCTGAAGACTCATGTTGCCTGAGGAAGAAGCCTGGAAGAGGAGGGAGAGGAAAGAAAAGGAGCCAGGAATGGCTGTTTCTCAGGTAAAGTCATATTTTCATTTGATTCTCAGTCTGTTCTTTCTGAAATGCCCTTCTTTGGACTCGCTAATCTTGTCTGACTCTGAAGTATCCTGGTTGACACTTGTACTTTCACAGTCATCAAGAGCCTTCCCGCAGTCCCTGTCAGCTCCACTTAGATTTCATTTCCCTATGACAGAGTGATCTGGACGAGGAGAGCCAATGGTTTCCACTGGGCGTAGTCCTGGGCAGGATTGGAGATGTGGTGTCAGAGCTGTTGGGCAGCAGTAATTGTTCTGGGGTCCCATGTAGATGCAGTGTCCGCTCTCTATAAACCAGGATAAAGAAGCTGCATGTAGGAGGGTGGGAGGGAGACACAAGAGGGAGGAGATATGGGGATATATGTATATGTATAGCTGATTCACTTTGTTATAAAGCAGAAACTAATACACCATTGTAAAGCAATTATACTCCAATAAAGATGTTATAAAAAAAAGCTGCATGTAGAAGTCAGGTCTTAAAATGCACAATACCTGGTAAAATCTGGATATCAGACCAATTAGGAGAAATTTGTTCTGGCTTTTTCTAAGGCAATTGAAACTAAATGTAGCTGACTTAAAAATCTTAATAATAGGGAATGGAAATGGTCAGTTCAGAGACAGACGTCAGTGGTAGAATGTGTTTTAGTCCATCATTGAATTTAAACTATGAAATCAGCCTAAATCTCTGACAGTTGGAAATTCTTTAAATCACTTTCACACCTCCATTCCTCAGAAATTGTCTTTTCACTCTTTGGATTGCATCCTTTGACACACAGTTTCTACCTTTGATGCAGGCAGTGTTCCAGCTTCATTCTTTTGTTAGTAGATATCTAGTTTCTTAGCACCATTTGTTATTGAGACTCTCCTTTCCCTGTTGTACAGTCTTGGCATCCATGTCAATACATTTTGCATATATACCAAGGAGTATTTCTGGTATTCTAATCTGCTCCATTGTTTTATGTATCTGCGTTTCTGACAGTACCACATCATCTTGATTACTTTGTAATTTTTTTTTTTTTTTTTTTTGGCGGTACGCGGGCCTCTCACTGTTGTGGCCTCTCCCGCTGCAGAGCACAGGCTCCGGACGCGCAGGCCCAGCGGCCATGGCTCACGGGCCCAGCCGCTCGGCGGCACGTGGGATCCTCCCAGACCGGGGCACGAACCCGTGTCCCCTGCATCGGCAGGTGGACTCCCAACCACCGCGCCACCAGGGAAGCCCTGTAATATGTTTTGAAATCTAAAAATTATGGCCTCCATCTTCTTTTCCAAGAGTATTTTGGCTCCTGGGGTCCCTTGAGATTCCCTATGAATTTTAGCATTATTTTTTCTATGACTGCAAAAATTGCCATTGAAATTTTAATAGGGATTCTATTGCATTTATAGAACACTTTGGGTAATACTGTCATTTTAAGATTCATAAGTCTTCCAGTCCATGAGTACAGGGCGTCTTTTAATTTATTTGTATCTCCATGGATTTCTTTTAGCAACGTTTAGTAGTGTTCAGTGTACGAGTCTTTTACCTCCTTAGCTAAGTATTCTATCTCTTTTGATGCTATAGTAAATAGCATTGTTTTCTAATATTTTTTGATATTGTTCATTGTGTATAGAAATGCAACTGATTTTTCTGTGCTGATGTTTTTGTTTGTTTGTTATTTGTTTTTTCTGCCGTACGTGGGCCTCTCACCATTGTGGCCTCTCCCATTGCGGAGCACAGGCTCCAGACGCACAGGCTCAGTGGCGATGGCTCACGGGCCCAGCCGCTCGACGGCATGTGGGATCCTCCCGGACTGGGGCACGAACCTGTGTCCCCTGCATTAGCAGGTGGACTCTCAGCCACTGCGCCACCAGGGAAGCCCTGTGCTGATGTTTTTATGCTGCAACTTTTGTAAAGTTTTCTTTTGAAGTAGTCGTTTTTTTGTGGAATCTTTTTGTCTTGCGTATATAAAACCTTGTCACCTGCAAAAAAACAATTTTAACTTCTTTTTCAATTTTCGTATCTTTGATTTCTTTTTCTTGTCTAATGGCTCTAGCTAGGACGTTCAGTACTTTCTTGAACAGCAGTGTAGACATCTTTTCCTTTTTAAAAAATATTTTATTTTATTTTTTTGGCCATGCTGTGTGCCATACAGGATCTTAGTTCCCCTTCCAGAGATCGAACTCATGCCCCCTGCGGTGGAAGCAGGGAGTATTAAGCACTGGACCGCCAGGGAGGTCCTGCTTTTCCCTCTTTTGTTGTAAGCATTTAACATTGTAGACCTTTTTTTTTAGGCCGTGCCATGCAGCACGTGGGATCTTAGTTCCCTGTCAAGGGATCGAACCCACACCCCCTACAATGGAAGCACAGTCTTAACCCCCAAAGTGCCAGGGAAGTCCTTGACTTTTGTTTTAATACAGCTTTGACTGCATGTTATAAATTTTAGTATGTTGCGTTTTTATTCTCATTCAAATATTTTTAAAATTTCCTTGTGATTTCTTCTTTGACCCATTGCTTCTTTAAGAATGGGCTGTTTAATTTCCTCATTTGGGGGATTTTCCTGTTTTCCTTCTGCTCTTTATTTCTAGTATCTTTTCATTGTGGTTGGAGAAGATACTTTTTATGATCTCAACCTTCTTAAATTTGTTAAGATTTGTTTTGTGGCCTAAGATGTGGTCTTTCCTGGAAAATGTTTCATGTGTGCTCTAGAAGGATATGTTTTCTGCTGTCATTGGGTGGAGTGTTCTGTACATGTCTCTTAGGTACAGTTGTCCTATATTGTTGTTTAAGGCCTCTGTTTCCTTATTGATCTTTTTGTTTCTCTCTGTAGGTAGAACTAGGGTGTTGAAGTCTCATACTGATATTGTGCTGCTGTCTACTTCTCTCTTCATCTCTATTAACGTTTACTTCATTTTGTGGAGAGCTCTAATGTTATATGTGTTTATAATTTTTATATCTTCTTGGTGATTTGTACCTTATATCATTATATAACAGCCTTTGTTTCATGTCAGTTTTTGTCTTTATTTTGTATGGTATAATATAGTCACCTGTGCTCTCTTTAGGACGGATTATCTTTTTCATCCTTTAACTTTTTGCCTGTCCATCTCCTCAGATTTGTGAACGTTGACTGTTCCAACTCTCTGACACATTTTCTCTGTTTTTCTCACTCTTGTTCTCTGTTTTTCCTGTTATTTCTTCTAGTTGCCTCTACGCAGGCACGTCGTACCGTGGCAAAAGGCAGGAGACCTAGTCAGCCCCCTTCACTCCAGGGTAGTTACAGAGAAACACATCAAGTGTTTTCTTTTGATTATGGTGTATGGTGAAATGTTCTAGTTAACTCTGTTTTATATTGATTAATACCTTCACATGTCAATTTTAGTGGATAAAATTGTATTTATATTTTTGAATATAGGTATCTATTGAGATCAGAGTTAAAGTATCCTATGTTTTCTTGTTATACCATTTACTATAGCTGATACGTTTTCATTGTCCCAAAGATGCTGAAATTCACTTGAATAAAATTGATGATGAAAAAAATGTTGCAAAAGTATGTCCAGAGACAGCTCTCATTTCAGTTAATTGTGTGTTTACATATTTATGCAAGAGTTTGTGAACATTCAAGTGCATGGTTTGATAAAGGACATCATGATTTTATTACTGCGTAAAATATCTTTTTCAGTTGAAATATCTTAAATATATTCCATGGCCTTGAATTTTTTCTACACTCTCCTGTTAATGTTTTTTGTTTTCTCTTTCATTTTTTAAATGTTTTTTGGCCACACTGCTCGGCTTGCAGGGTATTAGTTCCATGACCAGGGATTGAACTTGGGTGCTCGGTAATTAAAGTGCAGAGTCCTAACCACTGGACTGCCAAGGAATTCCCTTAATGGTTTAAATAGTAATAATATTACTAACATTTTATGTACATTTTTGTGTGTGCCCACATCTGTAGTGACCTTTCAAGGTTTCTCCAGGAATTCTCTGTCAGTGTACTTTCACTGGTCTTTCTGTTACTAAATTTTCTGCTTCTTTAGCTTCAATTCCAGAGCCCAGCCACCTTAGTTCATATGCTTGCTCTGTCATTTCTTAGCTTCTTAACCTCAGTTGAGTTGCTCAGACTGTCTCTGACAGTTTTCTCCTCTCTAAGATGGGAACAGATCTTACTGTAAAGAGCTGTTAGGTTGATGACAAGCTCACATGTATAAAGCCTTTAGAGTAGTTTTTTGCATATAGGAAGTATTCAACCACTGTTAGTCATTGCTGTTGTCGTCATCATCATAATTTAAGATTTTGACTTTTTTTAAGCCACTGTGGACTTAAGACATCACTCATTCTATAGCTCATCTAGATATTGAGTATCACTCAGTATGTAGAACATAATATGTAATACTTCTGCATAGACAATCCATTCTTGAATTTTATTTGTATGTATTTCATATATTTTCCACAAAAATGAAAACTCCACATTAATTGGAAGATATCATAATCTCATGAAAAAGCATAAGAAATTAAAATTAGAGACTGATAATTTGCTCCAAATACCTTTACGTGGATTTGTCAGAAAACGTACTTCAACGGAATTCATCCTTACCCCTCTCTTCTTGTCATTTTGTGTGCAAATAAGAACTCTCCCCAGGACCCCCTGGTGAAATGTATTTTCATTTCAGGAACAGTTGACATTCAAGGATATTGACATAGAATTCTCTCAGGAGGAGTGGGAATGCCTGGAACCCGCTCAGCAAGCCTTGTACAGGGACGTGATGTTGGAGACCTACAGGAACCTGCTCTCCCTAGGTGAGGATAACTTCCCTCTAGAAGTAGGGATCTTCCCTTGGTATCTTTGCATTTCCTTTGTGTGCCTCATTTGAGCTGGTTTTCCTTGACTGATATGAAATCCCTGTTGACTCAGATGTGAAACGCTTCATGATATGGCATCAGGAGCATAAACCTACCTTTTCTTACGATGACCTGCGCACTTCATGATGCATCAGGGGTTGTTCCAGAGCTCACGTAGTTACGGCAAGCTTTTGATACACCCACTTTCCTGTTTTCTACCCATGGGCTTTTGATTATGGAGTTCTAGGAAAAGAACTATGTTTCTGCATATTATACTGTTCCCTGTGTATTCAGAAGGAGGCAAGTAGTGGATGAATTTTTGAAATACTTTTCTAGACCCATTGGTAATGTCCTCCATCCTCTGGTGAACAAAGAACTAAGTTTCCGGAAAATCCATAGCTGATCATGTTTCTTGTTCTTAACTGGAGGAATTTCTGTTTCTCATCTGAATATTTTACCCACTTTGTAGCAAGAGAAAGAGCCCTAGGCTGTAGATAGTGAGGTGAGTGCCTTTGGGATTGTATCAAAGTTTGAATATAGGTCAGATCTCAGAAGGGCTGAGGGGAAGCCTCATTATTATAATAGTGTTTGAGAAACTCTGAACACTCCTGTTGGAGAGTTCTGTGAGAATACCAATGTTTGTTTATTATTATGAACTCTCAGAGGGAAGTTTTTCTTCTCCATAACTTATCACTCTTTCAACATGTAAAATGCATTCTTTCACCCTGCAGTGGTGCTGCAGCTCCTACAGAGACAAAGGCAAAGTCTTTATCACGATCTACAACGCTCCGTATCTGGCTCCCGTGAACTGGTTGTTGCTTGACTTTGAGGAGTGTGAGGCGGGCTGTTTTTCGTTTCTCTTTTAAATAGTACCACATTTTATTAGTGTCATTTATTGATGTCTGTGTGTTGTGTTGGCAGCAGGGGGAAAAACGGTCAGCTTTCTCATGCATTGAATATGACGGTAAAATTTCCTCAGTGTGCTCCTGCTGGCTAAGGGTGGCCTGTGGTGAAAGTTGAAAGCCAGTTCCCATTCCTGGAACATGCCCAGCATGGGCTAGGAGGCACTTTGTGGAGGGAGGAATCCATCCCCTCCCTGGCACTCGTATCTTGCCTAGGGATGTTCAGCAGAAAAGGTTGCCAGTCCGGGCTGGCAGCGGCCCTGAGCAGAGAAATGCCCACCAGGAGGGTCGAGACCAGGCCGTGAGTCTGGCAGGCTGGCGGTGAGTCCCTGCTGCCCAGTGATCCCAAAGCCTCCCGCTCAATTGAGTGCCAGTTGTCCGAAGCGAGCTGTTTTATTGGGGTTTCTGGCCCCCTCATCTCTCCCTCAGGGCATGATTTTATTGGAAGCTCAGTTCTCAGTCCATATAGGTAAGAGGTGATGCCTCCAGACTCAATACCTGAACCTTTCCCAGTTCCATCCACATTTGATGTTTTTAGGATACGTAATCAGAAGATGGGAGACACTGGCTGCCCTCTTACTCCCTGGCACCTCAGAACCTGCATGGAGCCGTCTCAGGCCCCGTCTGCTTATTTAGATCCCTCAGCCATTTCTTGTGTTCTGCTTTTGCCACAAACTGCAGGATGTGTGTAACAGCCAGTTTGAATGGATCGTATGTAACTTTTACTTAGGAAAACTGTAAAGATAATGGACAGAGACATCCTTTTTTTAATCCCCAATCTTTCATGAGGTGACTATGTGAATATTTCAGGGCTTTACTTTGGCATCTGTGGGTAAAGCTCATGGTTCCATCTGAAAGTCCTATAGAATCTGACACACATATCTTGCATTTTTTCCACTCGTGTACTGTGCTACCTAGTTGGGAAACGTATACCCTTCCTGATTTTGTACTCGTCTAAGTTTGTATGATTGTGCCTCTATAACTCTGTTTTGTTTTTTTTTTTTTGCGGTACGCGGGCCTCTCACTGTTGTGGCCTCTCCCGTTGTGGAGCACAAGCTCTGGACACGCAGGCTCAGCGGCCATGGCTCACGGGCCCAGCCGCTCCACGGCATGTGGGATCTTCCCGGACGGGGGCACGAACTCAGGTCCCCTGCATTGGCAGGCGGACTCTCAACCACTGCGCCACCAGGGAAGCCTATAACTCTGTTTTTAAAATACATAGTCCAAGGCTCTGAAATTTTTCTAGTTTGTTTGCTGTGATAATCCACCCTTAGTTAATGGACAACTTCTGGTGGACTCTCTATGGAGTGGGTTTACTGGGTAACAGAAAATTCTTACAGAGAATGCTTTTCCTCATATCTTGTAACATTTTCCTGCTACACACAGATTCACCACTTCAGGCTATTTAGTGGAGAGTTCAGCATGTTCCAGGTTACCATCAGAGCCTGGCCGATTAGTCTTTCCACATTCTTTTTTTGGTTTTGTGGAGTGACACAAAGGCACGTCTCAAGGGCACTGTGACAGTGTTTCATATATGCTAATGACCATTCCCTTCCAGCCTCAGTTAAATGGTATAGGAATTTCTCCTAAGAAAAGTGTCCAAGTTCACATCCCCATATTTGTGACACTGTTGAGTAAATTGTTGTTGATGCCATATTTTTCATTACCTGTGTGTGCACCATCGTTCATTCTACGTCTACACCTAATTTTGAAGCATCTTAATGAGAGAGCTTATGAGGTGGAGTGACACCTCCAATGATGAACCAGAAACCATTTCCAGGAGGGATGCCTGAACAACATTTTTAGTTACACAGCTCACGTCTTCTTGCATCTCCTTTGAAGTTTTCTTTTTAAACTCTTGGAATTTTCTGTAATATTATGTAATTTATACTGCTTGTCTGGGTAGTGATGCTTAAGTGATGTTGTCTTAGTCTGTAGGTCTAGGTTCAAATCCTGTTTCTCTCACTACTTTCTGTGTCAGTTGGGATCATGTACAGAAAACTGTGAGTCTTCTGTCCTAATTTGAAAAATTGTGGTAAGTTTCTTCAAGCCATTTAAAGGAAATTATTGCTGTTAGATGCCTTAGAATAGTGCACGTTTTTAGTAAAGACTCAAAAGGTAATTTTGTATATCAAGATATATTAATAGTGTGTCATGTTTATTGACATCTCTTTGCATTTTATAGCGTATGCTTCTTTTGTTTGTTTGTTTTGCAATTTGTCTCAACGACGTCGTTTCTGAGCGTAGTTAATAAATTTACCAGTTGCTCACTCTTTATTGTGTATATTGTGGAGCCAATGAGCTGGATGTTTAAGGGCACTTCATAGGTTGGGAATTGCTCCATTAATTGGTTGTAAATGTAAATGGAGAATATTTTATTCATAAATATCTAATTTTGATTTACGGATGATTGGCTTTTAGATGTTTTATGCTTTTTCATGGATACATAGTTTTATAGGAGGTACTGAGAAAAATATTTTGTTTTTCAAAAAGTTGTTTTATCAAATTCTTCATTTTCTCTATGCTATATTTGTTTCCCAATTCTATCTGCAACTCATTTAGATTATTCATCAATATGCTAGTTTTCTTTTTTTCCTTTTATTTTGGCCATGCTGCACAGCTTGTGGGATCTTAGTTCCCTGACCAGGGATTGAACCTGGGCCCTCTGTAGTGAAACTGCGGCGTCCTAACCACAGGTCCGCCAGGGAATTCCTGCTAGTTTTCTACTACTGACTGTTACAATATGTTGTCTGCTATTTAGCAGTTATTTATGAATAATAGGTATGCAGAATATACGCATAGTGTAATGTCTTTTTCTCCTCAGCTATGAGACAGCAGTATGTTTACTGTTAATTGGTGTGTGCTTATACATCATGGTGGAAATATACTTTCTTTGATAGCTAACAGAAGTTATTCCTATGTGAGTATTTTTGGCATACGTTGTTTGAAAGTACAGTACCCTAAAATTAATCACTTTTTCTTTAGTGAAGAATCATTCCTTTTGTGTTCCTAAAAACTTGAAGATCTTTGTTGGAAAGTTAATAACTTTGGTATAAGTGTTAGTTTTGGTGTAATATCAGGTATTTAACATGAAGCGCTTATTTATGAATTAAAATGAATAGGCTACTTATGGTTCTTTTATCTTCTAGACATCTCTCCTACACACGTGATCAAGAAATTACAACTAAAAGTAAACACTGGTAGAGGAGAAGTATTACAAAAAGTGATGTTGGGAAGACATGAAAGGAATAAAGTGAAACGTTTTAACCTCATGGGAATCCAGGAAAATATATCTGACTTTGAGCCTCAGCAGAGAGATGAGGTAAGAAATTACAAAGGAACTCCTGTGTCCCATAATGAAAATCCTACTGATAAGAGAGATGGACTTGGTAGGAGTGTTGCAGGAATTAAGCCTATTGAAAATAGGCTTGCATCAAGCTTTCGGGATGAATTGCATATATTTAAAAGTGAACAAAAAATTGGTGAATTTAATCAAGCTGACAAGAATATCAACAGTAGTGCCTCATTTTCACCACCTCAGACAGTTACTCCTGTTGTCCAGACAAGCATTTCTGATACAAATGGGAACGATTTTGTGCATCCTTCAGTACTGACACAAGACCAGAGGGCACACAGGGAACAACCTTACAAATGTAATGAGTCTGGCAAAACCTTTCATCAGGTCTCAAACCGCACTCGACATCAGATCATCCATACAGAAGAAAAATTACATAATTGTGATGTATGTGGCAAAGTTTTTAGTCAAAATTCAGACCTTGCAGTTCATCAGAGAACTCATACTGGAGAGAAATCTTACAAACATAACGTGTGTGGCAAAACCCTTGATCATGGCTCACACATCGCTGGACATCAGGTAATCCATACAGAAGAGAAGTTTTATAAATGTGACATGTGTGAAAAAGTCTTTAGTCACAAATCATACCTTGCAGTTCATCAGAGAATTCATACTGCAGAGAAACCTTACAAATGTAATGTGTGTGATAAAGTGTTTAATCACAACTCGAATCGTAGAAGACATCAGTTAATCCATACAGGAGCAAAACCATATAAATGTGATGTATGTGGCAGAGTCTTTAATCGAAGTTCAATCCTTGCACATCATCAGAGAATTCATACTGGAGAGAAACCTTACAAATGTAACGAGTGTGGGAAGGTCTTTAGTCGAAAAGGAACCCTTGCAAGTCATCAGAGAATTCATACTGGAGAGAAACCTTACAAATGTAATGAGTGTGGTAAAACCTTTTATCACAGCTCAATCCTCGCTCGACATCAGATAATCCATAAAGGAGTGAGAATATATAAATGTGATGTATGTGGCAAAGTTTATAGTCGAAATTCAAATCTTGCAGTTCATCAGAGAACTCATACTGGAGAGAAGCCTTACAAATGTAATGAGTGTGGCCAGGTCTTTAGTCAGAAAGCAGCACTTGCATGTCATCAGGCAATTCATACTGGAGAGGATCCTTACAAATGTAATGTGTGTGGCAAAATCTTCCGTAAGAGGGCGTACCTCAGGAGTCATCAGGTAATTCATAAAGGAGGAAAATTATATAAATGTGATGTGTGTGGCAGAGCCTTTAGTGTACGTTCATACCTTGCAAAACATCATAGAATTCATTCTGGAGAGAAACCGTACAAATGTAATGACTGTGGTAAGGTCTTTATTAAAAAAGCAATCCTTGCAATTCATCAGAAAATTCATACTGGAGAGGAACCTTACAAATGTGGTGAGTGTGGCAAAGTCTGTAGTCTAAAAGCATCCCTTGCAAAGCATCAGGTAATTCATACTCAAGAGAGATGTCACATATGTAATGAGTGTGGCAAAACCTTTCATCAGAGCTCAACCCTCACTCGACATCAGATAATGCATAGAGTAGAGAAATTATATAAGTGTGATGTATGTGGCAGAATGTTTAGTCAAAATTCATATCTTGAAAGACATCAGAGGATTCATACTGGAGAGAAACCTTACAAATGTAATGAGTGTGGCAAGGCATTTAGTCAAAATCCAACCTTTGCAAAGCATCAGAGAATACATACTGGAAAAAAAACCTTATAAATGTAATTAGTGTGGTAAGGTCTTTATTCAGAATTCACTGCTTGCATCTCATTGTAGAATACATGCTGTAGAGAAACCTTTCAAAAATATTGAGTGCTGAAAAGGCTTTACTCAGATTTCAACCCTCACTACACATTAGGTAATAAATACAGAGGGGAAACCATGTTAATGTAATATAGGTGGGAAGGACTCCCTTGAAAATTGAAACTTTAAGTTCATGGGAGATTCACAGTGGTAGAAATCATGCAAATGTCTTCAGTGTGGCAAAGCCTTACCTATGATTGGATAATCCATGCTAGACAGAAACCATAGAAATGTAATGAATGTCTCAAAGTCTTTAGTCAGAATTCATACCTTAATATCCACCGAAGAATTTATACTGGAGAGAAATAGAAATCTTTCAAATATAATGTGTGGCATATCCTTCAGTTTACTTTCAGTCCTACCTTACCATCAGGTAATCCATACTGGTGAGAGACTTTAAGTGAGGGTTTTAGCAGGTGTCCACATGTTACGCTTCCTTGGAAAAATCACGCTGGAAAGAATCAGATAAACGTATTTAGTATGACCAGGCCTTTGGAGAAGAAATTCATTCACCAAAGAATTCATTCTGGAGACTACCTCACAAATGCCATGAATGGGAAAAACCTTTACTCAGGGCTCACGTCTCACCAATCATCAGATAATCTATACTGGACAGGACATTCCAGATGTAATGAATGTGTCAAAGCTTTTGTGTTGTGCCTTAAACTGAGTGTTCACCAAATACTTCATACTTGAACATTCAGTGAGTATTGCAAGGTTTCAAATTATTGCTCATTCATCACTAGATATCAAAATACTTATCCTGGAAGGAAACCACACAAATGTAATGTGTGTGGCAAGAAATGTAAAGGTTTTCATCAAGTATCAACACCTTTGGTGTAATGATACGGAAAGTTTTTGAGCCCTTCTGACAACAGACTGTATCAGAGAATCCATACTAGAAACAAATGTCTTTAGTTCTTTGAGAGTAATCTGAGATATTGCATACAAGAGAATAATTACAAGTCACGTATGGTAAAACGTATGACATGATGTGTATGACAGGAAGAAGGACGTGTGTGGAAATGGCCTGTTATCTTCAGTGTATAAATATTTGTCTTTTCTTGAAAAGGCTATGTTGCTCTTAATGCCTTTCAACCCGAAGTTTGAAGTGTGTTCATTTTATGCCTTAACTACAGGACTTTCAGAATGGTCTCTGGGAAAGAGTCAATAAGATGAGGGGGCTGACTTCATTAACTGTAGTTCATCCACATCCATGTCCCCTGGTAAAAGTGGGACCCTTTATTATCAAATTCAGTAGCGTGTGAATTAGCATTAGTTGGGGGGTGGCAGTGAATAGTGTAAAACTGGGACATGACTAATCATGCTTACTATGTTCAGGCCCTTCTGTAGATAGGCCATTACAGGTTACAGCACAGAATGGTCTACCAACTGGCCGTGAACAGAGCAGAAGGGACATTAAGGAACTGGGCTTTTCCCGGGAGGAGAGTGACAGGTTCCTAGGGGCTGATTATGTGGTAGAAACAGTACAAAGGAAAAGCTGATCACTTTTTGCAGTGAATGGGAATAGCTGTTGTATATATGTGTGTTTAATGAAAAATTAGTTTTTTTCCTGGAACTTGAAAGAGAGCAGTTAGTGTGAGAAAAACAGTGTGTGCATGTGTATGATTTACATTTGACTGTTGCCATTACATTTTGCTTTGGTTTAATTCTGAATCAATTAAAATAGGTGTTCTTTAATTAATAAAATCAATCGTTTTTCATAACCCTGGATGAATCATGTTTCTTCCACCAACACAGTTTTATTCCACCTTAATACTTTATAACAGAAGCTAGCATTGCATCATTAGGCTCTCAGGGTTGAAAGAATCTGTAAAAATTTCTTTCCCTGATGGAATCAAACAACATACAATTTATGGATTATATATTCATAATTTGTATCTGATTTATTCTCTGCAAACTCTGCTCCAGAATATTTATGCGGCTATAGTGAAAATACCGTAGGAGTGCATTTCAGACTCTGCCTTCTATTAAAGAACAAAAATTGAACGGAGTAAATTTAAAGAACTAACTGGCTTTCATGAGTGATTTGTGAATCAGTGTGCATCCCATCTAGTATCAATAAATAAAGAGGGGCTCAAAGCAGCTGTACAAAATGCAAATCATTTGTAAATAGAAACCAGGCAGGATAAGAAAGATATTTCCAAAAGAAAAAAGTTTTTTTGGCAAGGTTACCTTTTGCTGGGGGAGGGATTGCAAAGGTCTTTTCCTGTAGGTTACATCTGTAGTGTTGTTCAGGAGATTCCAGAGTGATTGATTTAAGGTCACATTCCTGGAAGGGGTGAAACTGCAAGTAAGTCTTGGTTTGCTGTCCTGGGGGCAGGCGACTCCACATTGGGGCTGTGCTTTTTGAACATTCCTTAAAACCTGCTCCACATCCATGAGTATGCATTACGTGAAAGTAGTGCTTCATATTCTTTATTGTGTCCAAGGTAAACCGAAGGCATGCACCTTGATTTACATGACGGGAAAATAACAAATATAGTACGCGTATGCAAAATATTAGAAAACTTAAAAATCATAAATCTCTCTTTTGTGCTTGAATCACTCAGTGAAATAATTTGAAAATATTGATGTTCGTGCGTTTTCTCTTAAAAATGAACAATGTACAATGGGAATATTTTTGTTTGATAGATAAACTTGAAATTTCATACATTCACTCCCCAAATATTTTTTGTTGTTGCTAATTGTAATTGTAGCCATTCAGTGGAAAAAGGTGGGACCCCACTAAAGGTCATTTAGATTGATATTAACGTTGAAGTGTTCTGAGAATGTGTGTTACATTATTCAGGTTTCTAGGGGGACAGGGGAGACTTCTAAGTTGTTCAGAAAATGATTTGAGACAACAGGGAACGGTCACTGGCTTGGTTTGTTAATGTGATCACTATTTGAGGCTTGTTGGAGGAGATGCATACGGTTTGAACTACCAGTTTGCATCACAGGATCCATCAGGCTTCCTCATCAGCTTGCCCAGAGAAGCAGAATAGGAAGAGGTGGTGAGACTTAGAAGGTGTCAGTAATCAAGCATCAAAAACTGGAGTCAGACGCTTTAATAAAACACTGAATGTTTACTCCTGATTTCTTGGTTAGGATACACCATAGTTTTCTTTTCCTTTTTTAAAAAAAAGTATTTATTTGGCTGCGTTGGTCTTAGTTGCGGAGCACGGTTCTTCGTTGATGCATGCGGGCTCCAGAGCCCGCAGGCTTATTTGCCCCACGGCATGTGGGATATTAGTTACCCAACCAGGGATCGAACTCACATCCCCTGCATTGGAAGACGGATTCTTAACCACTGGACCACCAGGAAAGTTCACCATACTTTTCTTCATGCTAATAATTCATTACAGTTTTCCCCCTGCAGCAGACATACGTTCCGTTGTTCAATAGGGTTGTTGAAAAAGTTTGTAAAATACTATTTAAATAAATTGCCTAAGATATTTTTACCCTCGTTTAATAAAAGTTAATGCGTGGAACTGTTGTTTAGATAATCTAAGCAATTTACCAGAAGAGCAATTATCCAAAGGCTATTAAAATTTTGATTATAATCATTGTATTAAGCAATAGGTTACATGATTTCTTTTCTTTTGCTTTTTTTGTTTGTTTTTGTTTTGTTTTTTTGGCAGCACCGCATGGCTTGTGGGATCTTAGTTCCCCGACCAGGGAAAGAACCCAGGCGGTGGCAGTGCAAGCACTGAGTCCTAACCACTGGACTGCCAGGGAATACCCCACATGGTTTATTTTCTACTGTAATACATATATGTTTTAAATACACCTTTTCTTCTGCATTATTTTTTCCTTCCAGACATATTCCCCTTTTACACCAAGGGATGTATAAATCTGTGGGTTGTTTGGGGACTCTTGTGACATGAATATGCTCACAACGCAATGACATGTACAAAGTAGGGGCACTATAAACATGATAGAAGAGTGTTCTTTTAGGGGTTCAGTTAAATGGAAGAACTGGAATGGCCAAATGGTGAAGTGAAATCTTTTACCTGGTGAGTTGGCTACGGTCAGGTGTTTGAAACTCAAGTTTGTGGAGTTGAATAAACAGTGAACTTGTTACCGAGTCCAAGCTTGCTCTGTTAGCCACAGGACAGGCCAGTAAATCGGGAGACGAGGAAGGTGTTGAGTCAAGGAACAGCACCTCTCTCGGAGAGATGGCAGACTAGTGTCTCAAAAAAACCCATCTTACCGGGGTTTGGATGCCAGTTTCTTTTATAGAAAAGAGAGGCAGAGGAGGTGGGGAAGTAAAGTAGAAAGGCCGTAAGTCTTGCGAATATCTCCTGGAATGGCCAGCCTTGGGCAGGGGATGTGTTAATTTCTTCTTTCTTGCAGCCATTCACAGGTGGACAGGGTCAGGGTGCTTCCCTGAACAAAGGCACTTTGGTTTAACATTCAGGCAGATGGGTAGGGTTCCCTGAGGTAGGCCGTTGTGTATAGACAGTATCCTTTTAGTGAACAAAGGCAACAGGAAGCAAAGGTTAAAGTAAAAGAAACAGATCCAACATGGAGTCAGGATTGACTCTTCCCTGTTACAAACTGAATGAAATTTTAAGGGTGAATAACAAAGATCACAAGATTCCAGCTATAGTTTTTGACAAGGAGACAATCTCCATTGCCAGATATCTAGAAGCCATTCTCAGTGATTGGTATTCACATTCAGAGTCAGTGAATTCTGCAGAGAAAATAAGATTTGTGCTACTCATACCATGACAACTGACACTAGATATCCTCCAGTTAGAATTTGATCCTGACCAAAAATAAAATGTTTTCCTTGGATAAGTGATCTTAATTTTGATTTGTATTATCCTTTCTCTCACAGTTCCAAGTAAGAGTCACTGTTATTAAGGCTTTATGCCCAAAAACTTACTGAATTTTCATGTCTGAAAAAAGCACTGACGTTTACTTTCATTTCACAAATGAAGGATTTTAGGGCAAAGACAGATTTAGACCCATTCAGTTCCATCCCAGTGAGTGACTGAATCAGGAATTGAATCCATGTTGTCCAGCTTTAAAAACAAATCTTTTAATCAAGTTGCTACACTAACAAGGCTAATTATGTCTATCCTTCAACTATTCAACATCTGTATTTAATTTTGCATCTGTTGCCTTTTTTTTTTTTTTTTTTTGCGGTATGCAGGCCTCTCACTGTTGTGGCCTCTCCCGTCGCAGAGCACAGGCTCCGGATGCACAGGCTCAGCGGCCATGGCTCACGGGCCCAGCTGCTCTGCGGCATGTGGGATCCTCCCGGACCGGGGCACGAACCCGTGTCCCCTGCATCGTCAGGCGGACTCTCAACCACTGCGCCACCAGGGAAGCCCTGTGCTGATGTTTTTATGCTGCAACTTTTGTAAAGTTTTCTTTTGAAGTAGTCGTTTTTTTGTGGGATCTTTTTGTTTTGTATATATAAAACCTTGTCACCTGCAAAAAAACAATTTTAACTTTTTTCAATTTTCATATCTTTGATTTCTTTGTCTTGTCTAATGGCTCTAGCTAGGACGTTCAGTACTTTCTTGAACAG